TGGTATATAAGATGTAAAGTAAAGTACTTTAACTTGATTCTTATTTTGGGTAACGTACTTCCAAAACTTTTATTTTGATACCTAAGATGTAAAATTTTAAACATTTAAGTACCCGAGTTACCAGTTAAATACTAATTTTAGATTAAAAATCAATGTCACTAACCACGTCAGCAAATAATACTGAGTTGGATTTGCATAACTCGCCACATCAACATGATAACCGGTTAATGCTTCAACCGATTACCAGAGTACTTAAATGCTTAAAACTTTACATCTTAAGTACCAAAATGAAAGTTTTGGAAGTACGTTATCCAAAATAGGAATCAAGTTAAAGTACGTTATTTTTCCATGTAATTTGTCCTTTTGAGATATATTATTATAATATATTAATTAAAAACTAAAAGTAATATAAAAAATATAAGTTAATAATTATATTTTGAATTTCCTATTATAAGTTTAGTTTATATAGGGTTGGGTTCACGTGAGACCAGTCTATTTTCACGAGATCCGTGAGACCGCCTTTTTACACTTGAAACTTCACAGCAAAAACACTGTGAAGTTAAAAAAATACGAACCTTCACAACGAAAACACTGTGAAGGTTACCTTCACATTATTTTACTGTGAAAGTTACTTTCACATCATTTTAATGTGAAGTTTCAAGTGTAAAATAGTGGTCTTATGGGTCTCACGAAAACAGGTTGGTCTCACATGATCCAAAGTCAGTTTATATATATATATATATATATATATGAAAAATAACTAAAATTATATAATTATTTGTAAATAAAAATAAAGTAAAGTGACATTAAAAATAAAGTAATAAGATTTTTATAAATCCTATTATATAAATGTTGTAACAAACTTTTAAATAATCATAAATTTATACATCATATATTTGATTGTTTTATAATTATTTAAAACTCTTGAATTCGTTTATATCTTTACTATATTATAAAGCATTTGGTAAAAACTTTTAAAAACCATTTTTTTTAATGTATGAAGTACTATATATTGATGCATATTAATTAAAATTCAAGATTACAAGTAAATTGTGTGTAAGTACAACTTATTAAAGCT